TTTTGGTGTTTTAGTCATGAATTCCTTGCCTATCCTATGTCCCGAATGGTATTGCCTAGGTTTTCTTCTAGGGTTTCTAGGGTTTTTATGGTATTAGATCTCATGTTTAAATCTTACATTCATTTGAAGTTAATTTTAGTGTAAGGTGTCAGGAAGGGGTCCAGTTTCAGTTTTCTGCACATGGCTAGCCAGTTTTCCCAACACCATTTATTAAACAGGGAATCCTTTGCCCATTGCTTGTTTTTGTCAGGTTTGTCAAAGATCAGATGGTTGTAGATGTGTAGCATTACTTCTGAGGCCTCTATTCTGTTTCAATGGTCTATATCTGTTTTGGTAGCAGTACCATGCTGTTTTGATTACTGCAGCCTTGTAGTATAGTTTGAAGTCAGGTAGTGTGATGCCTCCAGGTTTGTTCTTTTTACTTAGGATTCTCTTGGCTATGTGGGATCTCTTTCGGTTCCATATGAAGTTTAAAGTGTTTTTTTTTTCCTGTTCTGTGAAGAAGGTGATTGGTAGCTTGATGAGGATAGTGTTGAATCTATAAATTACTTTGGGCAGTATGGCCATTTTCATATTGATTCTTTCTAACCATTTATTTAAATAAATAAATAAATAAATAAATAAATAAATAAATAAAACAATTGTCCGCAGTGTCAACCATGATTTAGAAGGGTAGCAGACTGAACTCAGGTGTTTATGAAAGGGTTTGCAAATGATAATGGAGAAAGTAGTTTTAAGGAAAATGAGGGCTTTTTGCCTGAGTGACTGAAATAATATTTATAATATTAACTGAGCTAAGAAAAATGCTGTATAAGTTGGGAGTAATTAGTAAGGGAGTTTGAGCTGTAAATCTTGTATGTTTCTATCACTTTAAAATTGGCATCCAGATGGTACCCATTATTATTATTGTTTAATGTTTGTTGAGTACTGACAGTGTGCTAAGCCTCATGTGGAACACTGGAAAGGCATACATATCTGCATATTGCCACTTTCACCTCCATCTGGTCCTTTAGTTTGTTATTGTCATAATTTATTGTTATTGTAAATTCGTTACTGATTTGTTATTCACTTATTAATTATAACTACATGATAAATAGTAAAAAAAATTAAATCATATTATAAGTGCATTTATTTATCATTCAAAATCTGATGGGAGATGGATATATGACATTGCTTAAAACTTTGTTCAAATATGGGTTGTACGTATACAAGTATTTAACACTTTAGTATACAAGTATTAAATGCTTTGCAGTTTTACAAATAGCTTTACATTTGTAAACATAGCTTATCCTGAGCTTAAAAAATACAGAAAATTACTGTTATAACAACATATTTTAAAACCACAGAAAAATCCACAGAATATTACAAATGTCAGTGCTTGACACACAGAGATAAACATAAACACGTCTTTTTAAATTAAAAAATCATTACAGATTCATTTAAAATACCTTCAAAATTCAACTTCTTCTTCTCAATACTGTTTACCTCTCTCCCAGAAGTAACTACCACCATAAAGGTAACAAATTTGATCTTTCCATCCAGCGTTGTACTTTTACTACATATATGTACATCTTTAGGTACTCATATGCATTCGTTGCTGGGTCTTTGGCTGTTCATATGCATTCATATTTTCAATTTTAGTAAACATTGCAAAATTATTCTTTGATATGATTGAACTATTTTGCAATCTAAATAGGAATGTATGAGATTTTTGTTTTGTCACTGCATGTCCCATGATTTGATATTCTTTTCTTTTCTTTTAATTTAGCTAATCTTACAGTTTTGAAATGGAACCACCCTTACCCTGATTTGTATTTTCCTGATTGCTAGTTAGAATGAATATCTTTTTAAAGATTTATTAGTCGTTTGTTTATTTTTGTTAGTAATTGCCTTTTCCTATATTTTAACTATCTTCCTGTTGAAGTTTTCTATTAATTTTTACCACATAATGGAGACTTAGTTGACACATAATAAAATGTGTAATTTAAATTATATAATTTGAAAATTTTTGATTTAATTCCATCGATGAAACCATCATCACATTCAAAATAATAATTATTAGAAATTAATATATTCTCAAAAACAATTTTTTTCTGTTATGTATTTTGTAACATCTTCTATTACTGGCTTATTGTTTATTATGACATTTTTGATCAAAATTTTAAACATCAAAGTATTGCATCTACTAATCTACTTTTTAAATAAATGTTGCTATTTATATTATGTCAAAGAAATACTTTCTAGGTCTGAAAACTCAAGGATGTCCTCCTATGTTTTATTCTAATATTTTAAAAGCACTTGCTCTTATATTGAGGTAATTAATTCATATGAGATTTATTTTTATGGTTTGAAGAGAAACTAAATTAGAGAACTGAATTTAATCTTTTTCTGGGTAAATAGCCAGTCGTTTCACTGCACACCGTATTTCCTCTTTAATCCCTATTGATCTGTAATATTACAGCTATCACCAATCTTTTTATGTACTTCAGGCTGTTTCTCAAAACTTTAATCTGTTACGTTGAATTGTTTCTTTATTTCTATACCAATATTACAGCAATAGGATTGTTAATACATTGCAATCAAGCATTGTATCAGGAAAGGCTTTTTCCTTTTATATAATTTGTCATTTAATAATGCCTATTTTTTCTTCACTCTAGTTTATTCTGTTTCTGTCTTTATCTCTTCACTTCTATTTCTATCTCAATCTATCTCTCTTTATCAACGTATGTAATTTTAATCAGAATTATGTTAAGTTAACAAAGTTGGAAAATTTTCTATTTTAATACTAGTACCTTCTATATGCTAATATTACATTTCTCCCCATTAATTCAGTTCAAGTTATACACCCTTCACATTTGTTTTATGTATTCTTATGTGCCTTACAATTTTTGTGCTATTGCAAATGTTTCATATTATTCTATTACATTTTCTATTCAGATATTCATGGTATTTAACAATTTTATTTATTTTTTCTACATTGACTAAATATCTTGCAGTAATATTTTCTGATTATTTTCTATGTATTATGAGCATATACTCTTTAGCATTCTATGTCAATAATATTAACCTCTCTTCTGTTAATTTCTTATTCTTGTCTTTTTCTCTTATTCCCTCTCATTCTTCTCTTTTTCTTGCCTTTTCTAATGTGTTTGAATTGTCTGTTAAATATTAGATAGCCATGGCAATAGTAAACATATAATCTGAATTCTTACATTAATTACAATGTACCTAAAATTTTATCAACACCTACTATATTAAGTAGGTAAGCAATTTAAATATTATTGCTCTCTCTTGATAAGTTCCACTGATGGAGGTACATCTTACACACACACACTGACACACACATTGCTACATCAGATTAGCTTGATTTATTTAATATACTCATATTTATATTCATAAGAAAGGATGTGCTATAATTTTCTTTTGTGTTCTTATATTTTGTGTTATCAATTTTTGTCACTCTGATAAAATTAGCTGCACACTCTTTTGATTCTCTAAAATATTTAACATAAGAGATATACAGTCTTATATTAATTTGTACATTCATCTCTACTACGCCCTCTCTTTCATGTATTTTAGGTTTATTTTGTGGATCTTTCTCTAGCTTCTTGATCTAAATTCTTAGCTCATTTAGTTTCAGTTTTTATTGGTTTTGATTACAAAATATGTTGTTTGCTAACTAAACAAAACAGTTTTTAAAACTTTTGAAAGTTTTCAAAAGAAATTATTTGTGACCTGGTCAAAATACAATTGTAAATGCATGCTTAAAATAAATTTATATTCTCTTCTTGGCATATATATAGTTAATATGAAAATATGTATAACATAATTCTATATAATTAAATAACTATTATATAATATATAACTATTATAGGTGAAAACTATAACTATATTATAGGTGATACATTATTTATAGTTTATAAAATTATGTAAAAATTTAAAAAGTTTTATTAATACAATTATATGTAATTTATATATGTATATAATTATATGTAATTGTGTTGTACACATATGTTAACCACTACTATCGATCTGCTTAATATAGCACACTGTGGCACTGGTCAAAGGATAGGCCTATAGCATAATAACTAACAGAGAGTCCAGAGATAGCCCCACGCAAATATGGTTAATTAATTTCGTCAAGGCTGTCCAGGCAGTTAAATGGTAAAAGACTAGTCATTCAAGCAAATAGTGATGAACACAATTGACCATTTTTAGCCAAAACATTTAATCCTACCTTGCATCATACAAAAGTTAACTTGCAATAGATCATAAATTGAAATATTAAACTTAAAGTTATAATACTTGTGAAATAAAACACAAGAAAAATGTTTGTGAGCTTGGATCAAGAAAAATTTTTATTTAGAACTCAAAAATGATGAACCAATTTTTAAAAATCAATAAATGTCTTCTTCAAAATTAAAAGGTTGTTTTTCAAAGAACACTGTTAAGAAATAAAAAGATAACCCTTCAGACTAGAAACCATTATTTACAAAATACTTTTCTGATAAAAGACTTGTATCTGGAATATACAAAAAGCTATTATAACTTATTAAGAAAAAATAACCCAATAAAAACTACATAAAATATTAGAGCAGAAAGTTTACCAAAGACAAATAAATAGCCACTAAGAACGTGAAAACATGCTCATTATTATTAGTCATTAGTAGAATGCAAATTAAAACCACAACAAGATATCATTACATATTTATTAGAATGGCTAAAAAAAACCTGATAAGACCAAATACTGGTGAGAATATGAACTATCTGGAACACTTACATTTTTTTTTTTTAAATTTTTTATTGGATTATAGGTTTTGGGGTACATGAGCAGAGCATGCAAGACAGTTGCGTAGGAACACACATGGCAGTGTGCTTTCTTTTCTTCTCCCCTTCACCCACATTTGGCTTTTCTCCCCAGGCTATCCTTCCCCACCTCCCCCTCCCACTGGCCCTCCCCTTTTCCCCCCAATAGACCCCAGTGTTTAGTACTTCCCTTTCTGTGTCCATGTGTTTTCATTTTTCATCCCCCACCTATGAGTGAGGAACACTTACATATTAAGTGATAATGCCAAATAGTGCAGACATTTTAGAAATCAGTTTGTTTACTTTTTACAAAGTAAAACATTTATCAATTGACCTACCTATTCCAATTCTAGATGGAGAAATAAAATATATATTCACAAAAAATCTGTGTGGAAAAGTTTATTGCAGCTTTATTCATAATTGCTGAAAACTAGAAACAAATGTCGATCAGTAAATTGATAACTCAACTGTGGAACACCACCCAATGGAATACTCTTCAGCAATAAAATGGAAATAAGTAGTGATACATACAACATCATGGATGAATCACAAATACTTTATACTAACTGAAAGAAGCCAGATTCAGAAGGCTACACATTGTTGAATTGCCTTGATAGGATGCTGAGGAAAGCCACAACTATACAGTCTTAAAAAGGAATAGTGTTAGCTAGAGAGGCTGGATGTGAGGAAGATGGATTGACTACAAAAGAGAATCTGGGAACTTTCTGGGGTAATGCAAATGCTCACTAAATAGTGGTTGCAAAACTGTGTATTTGTTTAAAAATGAATGAAATGTAGAAAAATATAATTTTATTGTTTGTGGATTATAATCCAATAATGCTGACTTAAATTTTTAGGAGAATTTTAATATAGAGAACTTACATTTATTTTATGGGGACAGTACTCCTAAATGTTTTACGTTTTTGATACTATTTTAGATCTCACATATAGAGCATGTCCTCAATAACTCAAAGATTTATAAAGAAGAAAAAAAGGACATAATTTTTATGTGCTTCTTGAAAATTCTGTCTTTAAATGTTTCTTAAACCATAAAATTGTGTTTAATTTTATTGTCTTGGTTAAGTTCCAAAAATATCTGCTGCACTGTTAATTAATTCTAATTTGTAAAAAATGCTTTTGGATTTTTCCTTGTACACAGTTGCCTCATTAGTGGATTACAAACATTCTTTTTTTTTTTTTTCTGGAACCAGTTTGAATGTGAGTATCCTCTGATTTACTGAGACACAAAATGAAACACTGGTCTGAAAACAGAGGTCTCACATAAGGCATGCCCTCAATAACTCACAGACTTAAAAAGAAGGAAGAAAAAGCACATAATTTTTTTCTATGCTAACTTAATTGATTACCTCACTCAAAGGATTACCTCACTTTTGAGAATATTTATAAGAATAAATTTAATTAACTAAACGTGAGCCATTCCCTTATGCAAGCCAAGAGGCTAACAGTATTTTCAAAGTAAATAAAATCCTTATTTGAGTAAAGATATGTGGTCCTGTATAAACTCAGATTCATATTTTATTTGATGCTATTGGCAGCTTTTTGGAGTTACTTTTTTCAAAGATCGACATTCCTTAATCACTGTAAATTTTCAAGATCAAATAAGGAATATGTGATTCCAACACTTAAACATAAATGGTTTTGCCATCTGTGGGGAGAAAATCACATAGAGATGACCTCAAGCACTATTATCAGAAGCTGGAAATAAAACCAAAGACCCTGCCAGACTTCTAGGATCAAACACCTGTTCATTACTAACGACTCTTTGCATTTTTTGTTAATAATACTATTGTTAAATAAAAACTGAAAAAAATATTAAAAATAGTGTTAAATAACATTTTTAGAATGCAATAAATTAGAAATCAGTCAAGATCTATGGACTACTTAGCTAATAATAATAATTTATTAAAATTTTGGACTTAGCACAAAGTTAAATAATTTTTAGGACATAACAGTGTGAATTGTGTAAAAAAATAATAACATTACTAGGGCTAACTCAAGAAAGTTTGTGCCTCCTATAAATATACGTACTATGTCAGCCTATATGTAGGTACAGTATAGTGGCCCTCTATATCTGTGAGTTTTGCATTCTTCAAATTGACCAATCATGGATCCAAGATATTTAGAAAAAAATGGACAATTATATCCGCAATAAATAAGTACACACATTGTTTTCTTGTCATCATTTATGACAATATAGTATAACAGCTACTTACATAACATTCACCTTCTATTAGTTATTATAAGTAATCTAAAGACAATTTGAAGTGCAAAGGAGGTAAGATGTTTATAGGTTATATGCAAATAATATATGTCATCTTATATAACAGACTTGAGCATCAGCATATTTTTGTATCACCGTGGACAGGGGTGGGGAGCTGAAACCAGTTCCCCATGGATTGAAAGGGGTTACCATATATAAACTTTCTAAGCATCAAGTATGTCCTTAGCACACAATTTTAGATAGAATTGCATTAAAACCTATATAATAATTTAGAGAGAACTGACATCTCTACTATGTTGAGGTTTATAATCCGTGAGCATGGTATATCTTCTTATTCATCTAGGTACTTCTTTGATTTCTTCCATCAGCATTTCATAGGTTTTTGGACACATTTTATCTGAAGCAAGTTTAACTGGTATTGTTTCAATTTTCAACAAAAAGGTAGTTGATTTTTGTGCATTGTTCATAAATCCTGCAAACTTGTTGAATTCTCTAAATAGGCCCAGGCTTTTTAAAAATAGATTTTTTAGGATTTTCAGTGCAGACGATCATATCATATGCAAACAGGAACAATTTTATTTCTTCCTTTCCAATCTGTATGACTTTTTTTTTCTCCTTTTTGAACTGGCTAGAACTTCTCATTGATTAGAGTAGTAAAAGCAGACATCTTTACCTTGTTTCAATCTTGGAAGGAAAATATTTTGTCTTTTAGTCTTAAATGTGATGTTAGATGCCCTTTATTAGATTGAGGTAACTCCACTTTATTTCTAATGTGCTGAGAGTTTGTTCTTTTCTTGATTTTAATCATGAATTAGTGCTGGATTTTTGTTGAATGTTTTTCTGTGTTAATGCATACAATCACGTGAATTTTCTTCTTCAGTCTGTTGATATGGTGAACTAAATTGATTGATTTTCAAATGTTGAACCAGTCTTTCATACCTGGAAAAGATTCCATATGTAACGATGATTAATTATTTTTATACATTGCTGGATGTAATTTGCTAATGCTAAGTGCTTTTATGTCTAAGCTCATGAGAAATACTTGTCTGTGTTTTCTCTTTTTTGTCCTTTTTACTTTGTACTGTTTTTGTAGGTTTGTATGCTAGATATAGAGAGTATCTAGACAATATAAATTTGAAAAGCTCTTGGAACAATGTTCTCACAGCTTCTTTGTCTTCTTTTTCCCAACTTTGTGGAAATTCACCCTACACGTGCAAATCTTAGGAAGACTCAAAAAAACTTGATCAGATTTCTAGATTTTTGTGTAGACCTTTCACAACTCTGCTCTGCATCTTGCAGTTAATTTAGCCTTCCTAATCGGTGTCTTCTCAAATTAGTGACACTTCTGTGTTTTTTTTGAGGGGTGAGGGAGAATTCCTCTCTACGACAGTTAATTTTGTATGTCAACTTGGTTGAGCCATAAGGCCCAGATAAATGATTATATTTTTAGATGTTCCTGTGAGGGTGATTTTTTTTGCTAAAATTAACTTTTAAATCTGTGGACTCTGAATAAAGCAGATTGTCCTTCATAATGTGGGTGGGTCTCACCTAATTAGTTAAAGGCATGAATTAAACAAAAGACTGACCTCCCCAGCATGAGAGAATTCTGAAGCAAATGAATTTCAGTCTTAAACAGCAACATTAGCTATTCCCCAAGTCTCCTGCCTAATGGCCTTTGGACTTGAACTGGAGCACCGGCTTGGCCCTGAGTCATCTCTAGTCTGCTGGCCCACCTTGCAGATTTTGGACTTACCAGTCTTAATAATGCATGAGTCAATTTATCAAAACAGTGTATTTTTTTTCTGGAAATACATATGCTATTGGTTTTATTTCTCTGGAAAACCCCGACTAATGAACTCTCTCTGCTCTATAATCTGAAATATAAGAAAAATTGTGTAACATAGTGCTCATTTTATTTACTTCATTTCTTTCAGAGACCACAGTTCTGTGCCACTTGCAGTTCAATATTTAAACATTTATTTCATGGATTTTTCTGTATTTCATATATTTCTCTGTTTTCTAATTACGTTTTAGGGCGTGCGGTTAAATCCAGTTCTTAATACTTCATTAAGGCTACAAATTAAAATCTAATTTAATTTAAAGTCTAAGAAAACAACTCAGTTCCCATGTCCCCTATAATATTTTGTTTCTGTTCTCCAAATACATGTTAGTCCTTTTGTTAATTTGTCTGTAAATGAAAATGTGAATGCTTTTTATTTTACACAAAGAAGATATAACATTTATCTATAGTCAAATACACATGAGTTTAAATACTAATTCTACCACATACTAAGTGCAATGAGCAATTTATGTGCCTTCTCAGATCTATTATTTCCTCATTTGACAACTGTGAGTAATAATTACTTAATAGAATTATTGGACATAAAGCACCTGGGACATTGTGTACCCTCAATAATTGCCAGTGTACTAAGAATAATTTCCTGGGAAATTCTTGATATGGTGCACAGCAAACCAAAGTTGTATAGATGATAATCTCTGATACCCAACTCTGTGTAGTAGCAAAAGCTGGTGCAATTGGTATAAGTAGATGATAGCAGTTTGGGAATTTCTGCAAATATTGTCCACCAGAAATACTGGTAGTATATCCCTGTACAATTTTATGGTCCCAGGCAGTATTAATAATAGCACAATGGATTGGAAAAAATAAAATCAAAGGAGAAGAAGATGGAAGAAATCATGCAGATGAAACATACCCTAGAGTCTTCAGAAATAACTGAGACTTCTGGAGTATCAAAGGTTTAGCAATTTCTGATATAAGTGAGTTAGAAAAATATAGCTATATTTTTTGTTTTAGGCCTGTGAGGTTGTAATATTTAGAAGTTTCACTCAAGTTAATTAGGCATAACATTTCCTTTGAAGTTATTAAGATATCCAAATTTAATGGGTTGTGATAATTTAATTCAGTAATTATTATTCAGTAAATATTGAATATATGTGGGGTAGGCAGAATGTTCCCCCAAAGATGTCCATACACTAATCATTGGACTTTAAGAATAGATTACCTCAACTGGCAGAAGAGACTTTACAGTCATAATTAGAAGTAGAGAGTTTAAAATAGAGAAATTATTCTGGATAGTCTGGATGGGCTCAATTGAATCACACAAACTGCTGAAACAGAGATGTTATTTATTAGAAGTAGAAAGTTTAAAATAGGCAAGTTATTCTGGATAGTCTGGTGGGCTCAATTTAATCACATAAACCATTGAAAACAGAGAAGTTATTTGGTGGGGGGCAAAGGAGGTCTGTAAGGAGGGCAAGTCAGAGAGAATCAACATGAGAAGGGCTTGACTTGGCCTTTCTGGTTTGAAGCTGGTGGGAGAAACACCATGAGAGTACAGGTGGCCTCATGGAGCAGTGATAGGCTCTCTGCTGACAGTCAACACATAGAGAAGGACCTTAGCTATACAGGCACAAGGAAATGAATTCTGCTAAGAACTTACACAAGCTTGGAAGTAGAGTCTCCTTTAGAGCCTCCAAAACTTGACCCTATTGATACCTTGATTTCGGTTTTGTGATACTTAAAAAAAAACAAAAACAGAAAAACAGAAAAGCCATTCTGTATCAGGATTTTGACCAAAGAACAGGGAAAAGTTATATTGCTTTTCCCCCAAGTTTATGAAAATTTGTTACCTCAGCAACAGAAAACTAATACAGCAAATAATATAAAAACATTTTTTCTAGGTGCTAGAGAAGTAAAGAAATTAATAAAATGTGATGGAGCCATTTCCATCATTTAGAGTTACAAATAGGTCAAGAAAAGGCAAGAAAGTAGAGGGATTTCCTTTGATTCAAAATATTAAGAGGGACTGCCTATAAAAATTGAAATATGAGTTGAGCTAAGGAGCATTTTCAAGATAAAGTGAATTTTGCTGAAACGAATATTTATGTCAATTTATGAACAACATTCTCTATTCCTTCCATAAGGCTAAGAGTGATCATTCCAATGTGGTTTTCTTTGAATGTTCATATAGTCTGGATAAACGTTAACTATCTCTACCTTTTCTGATGGATGGATAGGTCAGTAGATAGCAGGATAATATATGTACATAAATTTAAGAATGGATTGTCCTAAGAATAATGCACATGAATTTATATGAAACACACTTGATTTCCCTTTATTTTTCTCCTTAACCTTTTGTAGATTATAAAATTAATGTTTGTGTAAAATTTAAATATGCCAGGACTTCAGAGAAAGTCAAAATCTCCTGAAGTCATACCAAGTGACAAATACATTACATATTAGAATGTAATTTTCTAGTCTTTTCTCTAAACAACGTATTACACAAATATTATAGTTATTTGTTTAACACCAAATTGGAATCATAAAACATTAAATATTTTTGTAAAATTTTCACGTTATTATATTATATAAAATATTACATCCCATTGTTAATGCTGGCATCACAGCAGCACCCTATGTGTCATCAATTACTTGGAAAAATAGAATGTTTTCTAAGTTTTTACTATTTTAAGAAATACTGTTGTAAAAACTATTCTAGAATAACGTATTAGAAATTATTACTTCTTTAGAGAAAGCATTCTATCTCCAATGAAACATACTGCCTTAAATTGTCTCATAAATGGTGTACCATAGAACCAGTGCCTACAGGAGACACAACAGATCAAACTGGTGACAACAAAGCAACCATATTTTGAGATACGGAGTTAATGTGTCAAAGTAACAAAAAGACAAATATAGTTCCTACAAATTAGTTTTGAGCAAAAACCTGGGAAGGTATCAAACTGTGGACGTATGAAAATGCTGTATTTTTTTAAAATAGGGCAGCTATTAAGTTGCTTTTAGCTAACGAGTTTTCTTGTTATTATATTCTCATACTAAGGATCAGTCAGTTAATATTTTGATCAGGATTTTAAAATTTCCCTTGCACAACAAGTAACAGATCTCTCTTGCCCTTAAAGCTAATGGATTATACAGATTTCCAAACCCAATTATCCTTGCTAAAGGAAAAGAGAAACAAAAATCTAACAGCAATAGAATGCATTTCATGAGCTGGCCACTACTCTGGCAACTCATAGATCTTATTTAATCCTCACCCCAAACCCTGTGAAATAGATAAATATATACTCCATTTTGTAGATAAGGAAATTGAAAGTCTGAGCACTTAAACAATATTAATATATCTGAAGTAGCATTGCTAATAAGTGGAAAAACCAAATTCAAAAACCACATCTGCAGTCTTAAAACTCAGATTTTCCTCAGCTAATGCTGTTCCTACCATGAGATGAAGGAGTGGAATGAGGATGCAGTGAAGAAAAGAAGAGAAAATTATAAAAAGAAATGAGAAAGAAAATAGAGGGAGGGAGAGAAGAGAGAGGCAGGAGAAGCAGGGAGAGCTGGAATAAGGGAATAACAATGTGATGTCAACATTTTTTTCTTATGCCAGTAAGTGCATAAGCTTGAATGACATAAATAGAAAAATTGTCCTTAGGCAACACCCAAAGAAGAAATAATCAGCTTTTGTTTCCAGTAGTTTTTCTCTAAAATATTTTTTTCAAAGTGTGAAACTATAATAGAATTACTTTTCCTCATCTCAGGCAGGCCTTTATCAGTTTCATCTTCATAGTTGAAAGGAATGTCAATGGTACTGCTGAAAGAACTTGATGGCATTAAAGACCTAAATTCTAAAATCTTCATACTTAATTTCTTTTTTGGTATTTATGTATCTCAAGCTATGAAACTTGAGTTACTTTTGCTTTTGAGTTGGCTGATTATTTCAGCTAGTTCTCAGAAATCTATGTATCCCATCTCTTCAGAAAAGAACATTCTAAGGGCCGGGTGCGGTGACTCACGCCTGTAATCCCAGCTACTCGGGAGGCTGAGGCAGGAGAATTGCCTGATCCCAGGAGGCGGAGGTTGCGGTGAGCCGAGATTGCGCCATTGCACTCCAGCGTGCATAACAAGAGTGAAACTCCGTCTCAAAAAAAAAAAAAAAAAAAAAAAAAAATTCTAAAAGTTCCCTGTCATTTGGAAGTAAGATACTGTATTCATCAAACCTCCTTCCGTGGATTGACTCTCTTGTTTCAAGGTGTGAAATAGTCTCTTCAATGCCAAACTGTATTGTCCCTCACCTGACTACGTCCATGTCTTCTGTGTCAAATGCCTAGCTAGACCTACATATACATGTAAAAACTGATACAGAGATCAAACCTCAGTGGATAGCTCAAAATAAAACAAAATGACAATTATCTATTAGAAAAAAGCTGATGTTTCTAACAACTATAATGAATAAAATACTTAGTACATCTAACATTCTTTGCCATATAAGAAAAATAAGGTGTTCACATTGGACCATTATTGGTGTTTTCTCTAAGTGAAAAGCATATCTAGAATAATTATTTTTTTCTAAGTGATTTTAAACAGAAATATAATATTTGCGTCCTTAAATGCATAAAAACATTTATTCAATGATATTTTTAATCATGTTTCCATATGTTTTTTTCACACTCCCTTTAATGTTACCTGACCATTATTTTACATCTAAACTCCAAATTATTAGTACTATGGTTAAATAGAGCCAACAGAATAAGCAAACAATCATCAGCCAAAGTTTTCACTTCTGCCTTTACAAAGACAATACATCTGAAAAGAAAGATCTATCACCAAGGAAACACCAAATCACCAAGGTTTCTATTTCCCAGAACAGACCGGTAAACTAGGACCCACCTTTCAGGTTTGGTTACCAAATACACTATTGAAATTTACTCATGCAGTTTTCTCTTTCAGACATTAGCTGTGTCAATATGCATTCTTTTTATATCTCATTTTCCAGTTTCCTTCAAGAAAAAAAGAAGAGATATAGAGAGTGAATGAATGATGTGTTTTGGGGCTCTGTATTTATAGAAACCCCAGGACTTTTACATCTATAGCATCAGCTTGCTATTATATCAAGAATACTGGCTACAATTATATTACTTACCCAGGGCCTGTTGCATATTTATAATAGTGCTTAGTGCAAAATGAAAATATGTTATTCCTTATTCAAAAAGCAGGGGAAAAGTGTTATTAAAAGTGTTACCATTTTTCTTTCTTGCATAGTTTTTCTCTTGACTTGTCATTGGTTTTTTTGTTTGATATTATGTAATTCCAAGTAAAAAGATTAATTTTTTAAAGATGCATATTACTGTATATTGTGAAATGCCAATTTTAATTTAAATATCAGATCGCTTACGTTGCATGTGGAATCATCAAAATTACGCCACTTGTATTTTATAGTTTGGAAACACACAAGAGTTTCATTCTCGCCAGAGCAGTGAAGCTGAACAAAACCAAAACAACTGCTTTTACTTTATTTCTTGATACCTGCACCTTCTAGTAACACCTTCTACTTTTATTTTAGTAATAAGTAAAGAAGAATTGAAAGCCAGAGGAATGATGTTTTCTTTTATTTTTCCTTTTTCTTCTATGTTATTATTTTCAGTGCAAGTGGTTGGCCAATACAAAGAAGTAACATGAATGAGTAAGGATGTGACAAGGTTCTTTGGCCATTCCCTTGCCAAAGCAAGTTTTGGTTCATTTAGAAAGCATGATTTTTGGGGGTTGTCAGTGCCACTAAATCAGTTGCAGGCATAGCACTCTTGTCATACACACAAGTATATATGTGTCTATCTGGATCTCAAGAGTCTCTCTGGATCTCAGGTCCACTGGAATTCTGTGCTCACGGTACAATGTTGTCCATTGAAAAACAAGACATACATACTGTACAAAATCCACATCCATTGTTCTATCTGGACATCACTTACGAAGCATAAGTTTAGAGTTCCTAGATAAAATTATTAAGATTTTCCAAGATAATGACAGCAGAGCATTAAAACAAGTATGTACCCCTTCTGAGCTTGAGGACCTATATGAATGCACAGTTTGCATGTTCATAAAGCCATTCTTGTAACTGACATTCATTGACTGCCTGCATATCCAGTGCTTTATATGCATTTTTCCAATCATAAGATTGTTATCTTGACTTTACAGAGAATAACCTAAGTTTTTGAGATTAATTAATCATTTACTAATCAACATATTCAATTGAAGAATGAGTCAGAGATCAAACTACAACAAAATCTGGACGTGGACAATTTTAACTAGTCCTTTAACATTGCCAGAATATATAATCAACATTGATGGAATTGTTTATACAGTATGGCTTATAGAAATAAGTATTACTAATTTGTAATTATACTATGGGCAGTCCTCACTTCCATGGTATTATGTTAACTGAAGCTTACGCATGTTAGTGTAATGCAGTCACTCTCCATTGCCATGAAATGGTGCAGAGCAAGTACTACTTACATAATTTATTATGTTTATATAGTGGTTTGCCATTTGTCATTTTTATTGTTGTTGTTCATTATGGTATTATTTACTGTGCTGTGATGGTTAATTCCAGCAGACCTAAAATTAGTCTGAGTAGGATTGCTAAAGCATCTGCGTAATACCCTTGGTCAAGGCATGAAATGTACTTAATATTGTTGATTTGTAATCATGTGTCCCAGGACTTTTATACCAGTTGTAAAGTGAGACTGGCAATTGTACCTGGTCTCAGTGCAGAGCCCAGAGTATTCTACCATTGGGGCTGGTACCATACCGTTGTAGGAATATGCTTACATGGTCTACAGAGTATTAGATAATCCCTGGTTCCCGGGTGAGTTGTGCACAAATTGGTAGTACCTGATTTGAGAGAGAAAAAAAATATCCACACAGTCCTTACACACAGTTGGGGGTCATGCCTGGCCTCTCAGGTCCTCTTGTTATAAGGCCTTTGGCTGTGATACAAATCCTTGCTTAAATGCTATTTCTCTATTGCATCTATTTGCAAACTATGAATTTATATGCATTGTCATTTGGAATCCTAATCACCTTTAGCAAGGAATCCTCTCTACCACCATTAGTAAATGTATATGTGATATTTTCAGCAATTTTATGTGAACGGTATTTTGAATTTTGTTGCTTTTAAAAATGTGGATAACCAATACCATAATCAGGATATAGGTAAATTCTCTTACCCTGAAATATATCTTGTGCCTGATTACACTTGACCACCCCTGCCCTACACCCTGCAACCAGGCTTTAAAATTTCATTACAAGAGGGGAGGTGAAGTAATATGGCAGAATAGAAAGGTTCACTGATCATCCCTCCCTACAAAGACACCAACTTAACAACTACAGAGAAAAAACACCTGCATAGGAACCAAAAATCCAGTAAGCACTTATAGTACCTGGTTTTAACTTCATATTGCTGAATGAGGCACTGAAGAGAATAAAATACAGTCCTTAATCACTTACGCCACTCCTTCCTCACCTCCAGCCGCAGTGTTCTGCTGTGGAGACCCTCTCCAGCTGCTGGGGGAGGAAGAACAAAACAACTGTCAGGAATCGAACTCCCTGTTGTTCTGTTAGACCAGAAAGGAAAACCAGACAAAACTCAGATGAAATCTTCCCACAAAGGGAGCATTTAAATCAATCTTAGCAAAAGGGGAATCTCTGATCTCAGCAGTTTGAACATGAGCACCTGCAAACAAACCTCTGCACTGAGGGCCAAAGTGCTCTGCCTCCCTAAGTAAACTTGAAAGGCAGTGTAGGCCATAAGAAATGCAAGACCTAGGTGAGTCTTGGGGCTGACTTAGGCCTGGAGACAGTAGACTCCGGGTGGCAGGGGTCACACAACATACTGAGACACCAGCTGGTGAAGCCAAGGGAGTGCTGGGATTACCCCTTCCCTTATCCCAGGCTGCACAGCTCATGGCTTCAAAAGAGATCCCTTCCACTTGAAGAGAGGAGAGGAAAGAGTGGGGAGAACTTCATCTTGCTTCATGATCCCACCTCGGCCACAGCAGGACAGGGCACTGTTCAGAGTTATGAGGCCCTTGTTCCAGGCCCTAGCTCTCAGATGACATTTCTAGGCATACTATGGGCCAGAAGGAAAGGAAGCCTTTTCAGTCACACCAGTATTCATCACCTGCTAACTGAAGAGTTTCTGGGCCCTGAATTACCTGCAGTGATACCCAGGTACTACATCAAGGGCCTTGGTGAGCCTTTGAGAATTGGTGGCTTCAGGTGAGACTCAGCATGTTACCATTTACAGTGGCTACAGGGAAAAAGTCTTACTGCTTGAGAAAAGCAGAGGGAAAAGTAAAGGAGATGTTATCTTGCATACTAGATACCAATACCACCACAGGGGGTAGAATACCAGTTTAGCTCCTGGGGGTCTCTGATTCTAGGGCTCGACTCTTAGATGGCATTTCAGGACCTTCCCTGGGCCAGAGGGGATCTATTACCCTGAAGGGTGAATCGCAGGCCAAGCAGCATTTACCACAAGCTGACTTAAGAGACCTTGGGCCTATCTGTGGTAGTCTGTCAAAACTCCTCATGGCCAGGGTTGGAGGTACCTGTGTGGTGAGGCTCCTCTGACTTGAGTGGAAAGAGCAGGGAAGAATGGGAAGGACTCTGTCTTGTGGCTTGAGTGCCAGCTCAGCTGCAATACAATAGAATACCAGGGCACCTTCTAAGGTTTTTTATTCTAGTCCTTGATTCCCAGATAGCACTTCAGGACCCACCTGGTGAATGGGGAATATCATTTCCTGCCCTGAAGGGAAAGATACAGGCTTAGGATGGCTTGCCACCTGCTGATTGTCTAGCCCCACAGCCTTGAGTGAACATAGACAGTAGCCAGGGAGTGGTTACAGCAAGCCTTGGGTGAGACACAATGCTATGCTGGTGTCATAGTGGTGGTGGCCACAGAAGTGCTTGTGTCACTTCATGCCCAGCTGTAGGTGGCTCAGAACAGAGAGAGAGAGAGACTGTATGTTTGAAAGAAAGTAAGAGAAAGGAAGAAGAGTCTCTGCCTGGTAATCCAGAGATTTCTCCTCGATCTTGTCCAAGGCCATCAAGGTTATACCTCTACAAGTGTGCAAGAACCACAGCATGCTGGGTTTCAGTACCCCCTAAGGCAGAATCAGCTTATATTACAACACCCAGGTTCATTCAAATATCTGAAAAGCCTTCCCAAGAAGGATATGTACAAATAAACCCAGGCAACAAATACTACAATAATTCTTCAAAGCCCAGACACTGAAAAATATCTGCTAGGATTAACATCATCCGGAAAAACAGGATCTCACCAAATTAACTGATAAAGCGTCAAAGACAAATCCTGGAGAAACAGATATATGGGACTTTTTAGACAGGTAACTCAAAAGAGCTGTGTTGAGGTAACTCAGAAGACATTCAAGATAACACAGAGAAGGAATCCAGAATTATATTAGATAAATCTAACAAAGAGAATGAAGCCATTACAAAAGAATCAAACAGAAATTCTGGAGGCGAAAAATGTAACTGGCATACTAAAGAATACATCAGAGTCCTTTACCAACAGAATGGATCAAGCAGAAGTAAGAATTAGTGAACTTGGAGACAGACTATCTGAAAATACACAATCAGAGGAGACAAAAGAAAAAAAAAATTTAAATATGAAGCTCACGGAACATAGAAAGTAGCCTCAAAAGGCCAAATCCAAGAGTTTATTGACTTTAAAGAGGAAATAGAGAAAGAGAGGTAAAATGTTTCTTCAGAGACAAAAACAATGAATTGCCCAAACCTAAAGAAAGATATCTCTATCTAAGAACAAGAAGGTTACAGAATAGCAAGCAGACTTAACCCAAAGAAGACTACCACAGACATTTAATAATCATACTCCCAAATATCAAGGATAAAGAAAAATCCTAAAAGCCGCAAGAGAAAAGAAACAACATACAATGGAATTCCAATATGCCTGGCAGCAGTCTGTTCAGTGAAAACCTTATAGGCCAGGAGAGAATGGCATGACATAAAGAGCTGAAGGAAAGAAAACTTTTAGCCTATAATAGTATATCAGGTTAGAGATATCCAAGATGACTTATCGCTGACTGATCACTAACAGCTCGGGATTGTAGCTCCCAGTGAAAGTGCAGAGAATGAGAGGATGACACACTTTCAGACAAATTTTTGTCACTCACAGCCCAGAAGATTCCCAGTGGAGGAGCCCCACGGGTTGCCAGAGCAACTCTTGTGGCTGGCACAGCGGTTTTGCTGGCACCTTGGCACGGCAGCTCTTGGCACAGAATAAACGGGACTGGTTCCCCTTCTGACCGATGTTTGGAGCTCTGGGAAGGCAGAGTCACCTATTATGGACTCAAGAAGGAAGCCAGACCAGAGATTCCGGGCAGAAGAGCACCATCAGTCTTAATGCCACTGTTTTGGCCGGCGCAGTGGGTTGCTCAGATTCCGGCGCTGGGAATTAATAAATTGGGTGTCCACTCAGAAATCTAAGTAGAAAGGCGGTAATTGTAAAGACAATAGATGGATACATTTATAATGAAGGGAAGAAACCAGCCTAAAAAGGCTGAGAATACCCAAAATCAGAATGCCTCTCCCTCTACAGGGGATTACAGTTCCTCATCAGCAACGGAACAAGGCCTGATGGAGAAGGACTGTGTTCCATTAACAGAAGTAGGCTTCAGAAGGTGGATGATAAAAAACTTCTGGGAGTTAAAAGAACTTGTTCTAACCCAATGTAAAGAAACTAAGAACTTTGAAAAAAGATTTGACAAAATGCTAACAAGAATAGACAATATAGAGAGGAATATAAATAAATTAATGGGGTTGAAAAACACAACACGAGAACTCCGTGAAATATGCACAAGTTTTAACAGCCGAATTGATCAAGCAGAAGAAAGGATATCAGCGGTCAAAGACCAACTTAATGAAATAAAGCAATAAGACAAGAATAGAGAAAAAAGGATAAAAAGGAATGAACAAAGTCTCCAAGAAATATGGGACTATGTGAAAAGACCTAATTTACGTTTGATAGGTGTACCTGAATATGACGAAGAGAATGAATCCAACCTGGAAAATACTCTTCAGGATATTATTCAGGAAAACTTTCCCAACCTAGCAAAACAGGACAATATTCAACCCCAGGTAATACAGAGAACATCACAAAGATATTCCTCAAGAAGAGCAACCCCAAGGCACATAATCATTAGATTCACCAGGGTTGAAATGAAGGAGAAAATACTAAGGGCAGCGGAGAGAAAGGTCAGGTTACCCACAAAGGGAAGCCTATCAGACTCATAGCAGATCTCTCAGCAGAAACCCTACAAGCCAGAAGAAAGTGGGGGCCAATATTCAACATCCTTAAAGAACAGAACTTTCAGCCCAGAATTTCATATCCAGCCAAACTAAGCTTCACAACTGAAGGAAAAATAAAATCTTTTATGAACAAGCAAGTACTCAGAGATTTTATTACCACCAGGCCTGCTTTACAAGAGCTTCTGAAAGAAGCATTACACTTAGAAAGGAACAACCAGTATTAGCATTTCTAAAAATATACCAAAAAGTAAAGAGCATTAACATAATGAAGAATTTACATCAATGAATGGAAAAAACAGCCAGTTAACATCAAATGGCAGTAATCCTAAATTTAAATTGACTAAATCCCCCAATCAAAAGATACAGCCAAAACCCAATGGTATGCTACATCCAGACCCATTTCACATGCAAGGATACACAAAGACTCAAAACAAAGGGATGGAGAAAGATTTACCAACCAAATGGAGAGCAAAAATAAATAAATAAATAAAAAGAAGGAGTTGCAATCCTCACATCTGATAAAATAGATTTTAAAGCAACAAAGATACAGTGGTAAAAGGATCAATGCAACAATAAAAGCTAATGATCCTAACACCCAGATACATAAGACCTATAAAAAGACTTAGACTCCCTAGACTCCCACACAATAATAGTGGGAGACTTCAACATCAATATTAGATAGATCAACAAGACAGAAAATTAATAAGTATATCCAGGACTTGAACTCAGATCCGGAACAAGTAAACTTAATAAACATTTATAGAGCTCTCCACTTTAAATACGCAAAATATACATTCTTGTCAGTACCACATCACACCTACTCATAGGTTTAAATGAAATATTGATTGGCCATTATTAAGCACAATTATTGGCATAAAAGAGGTTTTCAATACCCATTTTTAGAATAAAGCAACATTCCCGTTCAAAAAAAAAAATAGTATATCAGGTGAAAATGTCCTTCAGACATGAAGGGGAAATAAAAACATTCTCAGACAAACAAAAGCTGAGGGATTTCATTAATAATGGACACACCCTACAAGAAATGCTGAAGGGAGTAGTTTAATCATACAGAAAAGGACATTAATGAACAATAAATAATCAACTGAAGGTAAAAAACTTACTGAATAGTAAGTGCACAGAAAAACACAGAATGTTATAACTCTGCAGCAGTGGTGTATAAACTACTGCTCTCCTAAGTAGAAAGACTAAATGATGAGCCAATCAAAAATAATAACTGCAACAACTTTTATTTTTTTTTGAGACAGAATTTTGCTCTTGTCACCCAGGTTGGAGTGCAATGGTGCCATCTCGCCTCACTGCAACCTCCGCCTTTTGGGTTCAGGCAATTCTCCTGCCTCAGCCTCCTGAGTAGCTGGGATTACAGGCACACACCACCATGCCCAACTAATTTTTTGTATTTTTAGTAGAGATGGGGTTTCACCATGTTGACCAGGATGGTCTTGATCTCTTGACCTCGTGATCCACCCACCTCAGCCTCCCAAAGTACTGGGATTACAAGCTTGAGCCACCACACCCAGCACAGCAACAACTTTTTAAGACATAGCACAATGTAATATAAATAGAAGCAAATCAAAGTTTAAAAGCATGGGGAAAAAGTTAAGGCAAGTTTTTATTAGTTTTCTTTTTGCTTGTTTATCCAAATTGTGTAAACTTGAATTATGTTAAAATAATGGGTTACAAGATAGTATTTGCTAGCCTCACAGTAACCTCAAAACAAAAACCACAATAAATACAGAAAAAATAAAAAGCAGTAAACCAGAATCATATCACCAGAGAAAATCATCTTCACTAGGCAAAGACAGGGGTGAAAGAAAGAAGGAAGAGAAGACCAGAAAGTGACCAGAAAACAAATAACAAATGGCAGGATTAAGTCTTTACTTATCAATAATAACACTAAATGCAAAAGGACTAAAGTCTCCAACAAAAAGACACAGACTAGCTGAATGAATGAAAGAACATAACTCATTGATTTATTGCCTACAAGAAACATACTTCACCTACACAGACACACATGGACTGAAAATAAAGGGATGGAAACAGATATTCCATACCAATGGAAACCAAAAATAAAAGCAAAATTGCTATACTTATGTCAGGAATACAGTCTCCAGCTGTTATTGTATTGGAGCCTCTCTCTCTCTAGCTCTAAAACACACCACTTTCAGAACTGGACATATCTTCCAGACAGAAAATCAAGAAAGAAACATCAGACTTAATCTGCAATATAGACCAAATGAATCTAATAGATATTTATAGGACATTTCATTCAATGGTTTCAGAAAACACATTCTTCTTCTCAGCATTTTAATCATTCTCAGGTGACATGATTTCCCTGTGTCCCCACCCAAATCTCAACTTGAATTGTATCTCCCAGAATTCCTAAGAGTTATGGGAGGGACCCGGGGCAGAGGGAGTAATTGAATCATAGGGGCTGGTCTTTCCTGTGTTATTCTGATGACAGTGAATAAGTCTCACAAAATCTGATGGGCTTATCAGGAGTTTCTGGTTTTTCT